AATGCTGGAATCACAGGCATGCACCACCACACTCCGCTAGTAAAGGCATGTTTTTTTTGTTTTTGTTTTTACTGGGGATCAAAGTAAAGTCATGTTTAAGTTTCCTACACGCACATAAAAGAAGAGAAAGGCTGACTAAAATCTCTTTTTAATTCTCCCTTGATTCTTACTATGTTGTTCCAAGCACTTCAGCCTGACATCTCACAAAGAGAGGTGTAGTCTAACGTTGAGTTCTAAAATTAACTCCCAATGACTTGGAGAAAAGTTGAGGGAGTTTTAATCTTGCAGACATTTGTCAAGACATCTAGATAGTTACTGCTCTTATTTGTGCCTTGGCCCCATGGGGTCTGCCTTATTAGTAGAAAGAGAATAGTCCAAACCTGAAGCTCAACTTTTTTTTTTTTTTTTTCCTGGTACTGGGGATCAAACTCAGGACCTTTGCCAGCAGGCACAGTGGAACTAAACTAAATATGTGGCCCTAGCTCAACTTTTCTTTTTTTTTGGTCAAATTGTATTTTTAATCTTCATCTTTTTTTTTATATATAGTTTATTGGTACATTTTAGGTATACAGTGCAGTTACATTCATTATTGGGATCTTGTACCTCTACATGACAGGTCTTGGTTCTCATTTTTTCCCTTCTCCCTGCCCTCTCTTCACCCCCTTCTCCCCTCCCCATTTACAAACACTTTATTTCCATTTTTTCATTTTCTCATATTTTTTTTTCTTTTCTCTTATTACCTTTCCCCAACCCTTCCCATTTTCCCTACACCTTTAGCCCTTTTCTTCCTATTTCACATTGTCAATTATCTCATTAGGATTTTATGTACTATTATAGTTTTTCACAACAGAGTAACTATTCGGGATTTACACGTGTGTGACTTATCTCACTTAGGAGTAGATCCTCAATATGTACCCATTTACCTATGAATGAATCTAATTTCTCATTCTTTATGACCAAGTAGTATTCCATTTTATAGAAAAACTGCATCTTTATCCAGTTTCCAACTGATGGGTAAAAGGGCTGTTTCCAAGTTTTAGCTATTACAAACTGTGCTGCTATAAACATGGGTGCACATATATCACTGTGATATGATTCTTTTAGTTCTTTTGGAAAGATACCCAGCAGAGGAATAGCTGGGTCAAGTGGAACCTCTAGTCCCAGCTCTTTGAGGTATCTCCATATTGATTTCCATAGTGGTTGCACCAGTCTGCACTCCCACCAACAATGGAGAAGGGTTCCTTTCTCCCCACAACCCCACCAACATTTGTTATTGTGTGATTTCTTCATAGCAGCCATTCTTTGTGGGGTGAGGTGGAATCTCGATGTTGTTTTCATCTGCATCTCTCAAATGACCAGTGATATGGAACATTTTTTCAAATATTTACTTGCTGCTTTTACTTCTCTGTCTGAGAAATGTCTGTTCATTTCAGATGCCCATTTTCGAATTGGGTCTTTATACTGGGGGGGCTGGTTGTTTTCAGTTCTTTATATATTCTAGATAATAGTCCTTTGTCTGAGGAGCAGCTGGTAAAAATTTTTTTCCCACATTGTAGGCTGTCTCTTAGTTCTGTTGATGGTTTCTTTTGCAGTGCAGAAACTTTTTACTAAGATGCGATCCCAGTTGTTCTTTCTGCTAGTTCCTGTGCTACTGAGGATTTGTTCATAAAGTCTTTTCCTATGCCAATGTCTTCAAGAGTTCTGCCTAACTTATCTTCCAGCAAGTTTAGTGTTTCTGTTTTAAAATTTAGATCTTTGATCCACTTGGATTTTAATTTAGTGCATGGTGAAAGATAAGGGTCCAATTTTAATCTTTGGCAGGCTGAAATCCAGTTTTTCCAACACCATTTGTTAAAGAGGTCATCCTTCCTCCAGTGGGGACGGTCAGCTCCTTTGACAAAGATAAGGTAGCTGAGTACATCTGGAGTTGTTTTTGTGTCTTCCAATCTGTTCCACTGATCCTCAGTCTGTTTCTTTGCCAGTACCATGCTGTTTTTATCACAGTGGCTTTGCAGTATAGTTTCAAATGGGGAATTGTTATACCTGTTGCCATGTGTCTGTTGCCTAGTATGGCTTTTGTTATTCTAGGCCTCTTATAGTTCCAAATGAATTTTTGGATTCTTTTTTCTAGTTCTATGAAATATAGTGTTGGAATTTCAACTGGCATCGCGTTGAATTTGTATAGCAGTTTTGGTAGTATGGCCATTTTCACTATGTTGATCCTTCCTACCCAGGAGCAGGGATATCTTTCCATTTTCTTATATCCTCTTCGATCTCTTTTTTCAGAGTGCTGTAGTTTTCAGTGCAGAGGTCTTTTGCTTCTTTTGTTAGATTGATTCCTAGATACTTCACTTTTTTGGATGCTATTGTGAAGGGAATTGTTTCCCTAATTTCTCTCTCAGTGAGTCTGTTACTTGTGTACAAGAAGGCTATTGATTTTGGGGTGTTGACCTTGTATCCAGCTACTCTGTTAAATGTGTCAATTAAGTCTAGAAGTCTTTTGGTAGAGTTTTTTGGGTCTTCAATGTATCGTCAGCAAATAATGACAGTTTAACTTCTTCCTTTCCTATCTTTATTGCTTTAATTTCTTTCTCTTGTCTAATAGCTATGGCTAATGTTTCCAGAACTATATCAAAGAGGAGTGGTGATAGTGGGCATCCTTGTCTTGTTCCTGATTTTAACGTAAAGCTTTTCAGTTTTTGGCCATTTAATATGATGTTGGCTGTTGGTTTTTCATAGATAGCCTTTATTAAGTTGAGATATAGACCATTTATTCCAATATTTTGCAGGGTTTTTATCATGAATGGGTGTTGAATTTTGTCAAATGCTTTTTCTGCATCTATCAAGAGAATCGTATGGTTTTTGTCCTTGACTTTTTAATATAGTGTATTACATTTATTGACTTACATATGTTGAACCATCCTTGCATCCCTGGAATAAATCCGACTTGGTCAATATGTATGATCTTCTTGATGATCCTCTGTATTCTGTTTGCTAGTATCTTACTAAGGATTTTTGCATCTATTTTCATTAAGGAGATTGGCCTGCAGTTCTCTTTTTCAGTTGCATCTTTCCCTGGTTTTGGGAATCAAAGTGATACTTGCTTCCAGGAATGAATTTGGAAGTATTGCTTCCCTTTCAATTTCATTGAAAAATTTGAAAAGTAATGGCAGTAGTTCTTCTCTAAATGTCTTGTAAAATTCAGCAGTGAATCCATCAGGACCTGGGCTTTTCTTTGTTGGTAAATTTTTAATTACATTTTCAATTTCACTGATTGTAATTGGGGTGTTTAAAATGTTTTTATCTTCTTTGTTCAACTTTGGTAATTCATAAGTATCTAGAAATCTGACCATTTCTTCTGTTTTCCATTTTGTTAGAGTACAGGTTCTCATAGTAGGTATTGACTACTTCTGGGTTTCTGTTGGATCTGTTGTGACTTCACCTTTTTCATTCCTAACTGCATGGATCTGAGCCTTTTCTTTCCTTTTTTGATAAGGTTAGCTAAGGGTTTATCAATTTTATTTATTCTTTCAAAAAACCAACTCTTCATTTATTTTTTGTATCATTTTCTTAGTTTCCATTGCATTGATTTCTGATCTTTATAATTTCCTCTCTTGTTCAAGCTTTGGGTTTTTCTTGCTCTTGTTTTTCTAGGAGTCTAAGATTCATCATCAGGTTGTTTATTTGAGCTCGCTCTGTTTTCCTAGTGTGGGCATTCAGTGCTATGAATTTTCCACATAGAACTTCTTTCTTTGTGTCCCATAGATTCCTGTATGTTGTATTGGCATTTTCATTTATTTGTAAAAACTGTCTGATTTCTTCTTTGATTTCCTCTGTGATCTATTAATTGTTCAGGAGAGTGTTGTTCAATTTCCATGTGTTTCTGAAGTTCCTACAGTTTCTTGTGCTATTGATCTCCAGCTTGATTGCACTATGATCTGATAATATACAGGGAATAACTTTCTTTTGCATTTATTCAAACCTGTTCTGTGAGCTAGTATGTGATCTATCTTGGAGAATGACCCATGTACAGCTGAAAAGAATGTATATTCTGATTTTGTGGGGTGGAACACTCTATAGAAGTCTATTAAGTCCATGTGTTCAAAAGCTCGGTTCAGTTCTAGTTATTTCATTGTTGATTTTTTGCCTAGATGATCTGTCTATTTGTGAAAGTGGGGTAACCTAGATCAACTCTTAAGGAAGGCTTGAGAAAGGATCTTGACAGCCTCATTTTAGGTCACTCTGAGACAAGATACCTTATGATCACAGAAAGAGTCACATTTTACCTCATGGAGAAGCACAGAAAGGGACAATAGATAAGTGGAGATTCTCTGCTGAATACCTGTTTGGGCTGTCAGGACCTAGCTTCCACTGAGGGACCCAGCCATGACCCCTCAGTTGTCCTATCAGTTTCTGCTAGTTCCAATGCAATCAGAGATCTGTCTCTGGAAAGGAATCTACCTGTCCATCTGGTCAACATTTAGTCTACAACTTATTAGCGAAAGTATATTTCTCCCCCTACACACACAAATGCTAAGAACCAGACCTATTGATGTAAGGGAATAGATGCAACTCCCAAAGCTGCTAGATATTCAACGTGTGAATTCATGTTCTCTAAAACTGAAGAATGAATTCTAGAAACAACGCAAGTTAAGAGTAGGAAAAATTTATTGAGAGAAAGATAGCTTCTGGGCCGGGGATTTAGCTCAGTGGTTCTACCACCTTCCTTGCAAGCGCAAGGACCCGAGTTCAATCCCCAGTACCAAAAACAAAACAAAACAAAAAGAAAGATAGCTTCTGTCTAAGAGAGATAGAAGGGGAACTAGAAAGTGGGTTGCCCACTCACCCAACTTCCCAAAGGTGTTTTATGAGACAAAGCCACGAGGTGAGGTGGATTCAAGGTGGGATAAAACTATAGTCAACTAAGTGAGATTACAAGTACAGGTAATATTGATCCAATGAGAAATCACAAGGTGGACAAAACTATAAACAATCAATACGATTATGACAAGTATAGTCACCTAGGTAATACTGATTAAATGAAGATCCAATGGGGAAACAAGTCAAGTAGCAAGCATTCAAGGAAAGAGCAAGGAGTTTTGGTGGTAAGAGTTGGGTGAGGGATCTTTCTTGGAAGAGCATGGTTCCCCACCCGGGTGATACCTATTTAGAATATCAATTACTGCTATACATGCTATGCAGATGTGGTAATTTATCTTCTTTTACAATGCTAGTGGGCTGGGGATTTAGCTCAGTGATTCTGCAGCCACCTGCCTGGAAAGGGCAAGGGGCCTAGTATGATCCCCAGTACAAAAAAAATACAATGCTGGCTTTCAGGGAATGTGTTTTGACTGTCCTCCACATTGCCTCGCGGGCCAGCCCTGTATAACTGCCTACAAGATATCTAATTAATTTACCTATCTACAATACTATGAGGGGAGAGAGACACACACACAGTAGGTTAGGGATTCTCCTTTAAACTAAATGTTGTTGTGTTTATGGAAATAGCTCCTTCTAGTTTCACCAAGAAGTTGGTTCTTTCTCTAGGGTCTTAGGTTCAGTCTCCCGAGGCAGACTGCTGCCCAGAGCACTAAACGGGAATATCACCTTTTTTTTTCAGTACCCGGGATCAAATTTAGGACTTTGTGTTCTATTTTTTGTTTTTTAAGGACCTTGTATTTCTGAGGCAGGCACCCACCCCCGAGCTAAATCTCTGGGCCCAGGGGACATCACTTTTATGTGCTCTTCTGAACAGGCAAAAAAATCTCGATATCTCATCTGACCCAGAGACAGTGTTTCATCTAAAATCACTTCCCTGTATTTATCATTAGCAAACACTCATTTTCTAAGGGCTTAACTCAAAGGTTGTTAGAGGAAAAGGTTGGGACACTTCAGAGATCCTTTCTTTCTCTAATTTTACATGCTTCTATAAAGGAGAGTACAAAGTGGCATGAAAGTTTGAAAAACGAAATCAGGAAAACGATGTCTATTCTTCTCATGTTCATGGTGAGTTACTGAGACAACTTGCCCATTGAGTCTGTCACTCTCCACCTGGAAAGACAAGAATGGAAAATCTCAAATACTAAGGCCTCTTCTCACCAGTGGAAGATCAGACTAGAAAAGAAACTGAAGCAGAGCTCAACATTTTCTCTTAGAGGATTGGGCCAGACTGCTCAGTAAACCTGCCCCCAAGTCTTAAGAATGGCCACCGGCCTACTGTCATTTAATTGGTGGCTGGGTTTCCATGGCTTATTAATAGGTATGTGTATTTCTCAAATATAAACTAGATTTCATAAAAGGATCCATTTTACATATTTTCTATTTCTAATTTTACTTGTAGTTACTGATAAAATCCACTAGATGGAGCTCTAACATTATACTGTCTAACAAACCAGTCAGGTAATTAATATAAACATAGACTTTGTCTACAAAAGTAAAATATCCCTTTAAAGAAATATCATAATCATTTTAACAAAAGACATTGTATAAGGACTCAAAGTATAAAGCAATTTACCAAAAGCACAAGCAATGGCAAACAAGAATGACAATTTGACTACCTAATATAATTTAGCAATCAAAAAATAAAAGCAACTGCTTATGTCCCATTAATTGGGCTTTTTAACAATCTCAGTGGAGCCAGGGATTTAGCTCAGTGGTTCAGTGGCCTGCCTTGCAATCGCAAGGACCTGAGTTCAATCCCCAGTACCAAAATAAATAAATAAATAAAAATCTCAGTGGAACCTCCAACAGGATACAAGAAATGATACCAGAAGTGACATATGAAAATATTTTATCTCCCAACCTCTTAGATGTCTGATGCTCCAAGCTCATGTTCTCTAAAAAATCAAAGAATGAATTCTAGGAACAACGGAGGTTAGGACTAGGAAGAATTTATTGAGAGAAAGACAGCTTCTGTCCAAGGGGGGCAGAAGGGGTCCAAGTGGGTAACTGGGAACCCCACTTTACAGGTAAGTTTTATAAAGCGAAACCGAGGTGAGTACAAAGTGGGTTACAGCTATGACTGACCAATACGGTTACAAGCACAGTTACTTAGGTAACAGTGATCCAACAGGGAACCGAGTCACGTAGCAAGAGTACATGGAAAGAACAAAGAAGTGGCCAGGTAGGTGATGGAACTGGGGGTCTTGGTCACCCACTGAGGTGAATGATGCCTATAGGTGCTATCATTTATCTCATCCCTTGAGGAAATATATAGACCTGATCTCTTTGTCATCATCTTGAGGCTGGGTCCCCAACTGGTGTGTCTCTGGCCACAGTTGTAGTGTGCTTTTACCCTTTATTTTGACTCTCTTGAGGGCACAGCCCTGACTGACTGCATATTATATTTCTATCTAACTTAGCTGTCTGGCACCTTCAGCCTTCTAAAGCATCCAAAAATGAAAACAGGTAGCTTCTCCCTTCGAAAGAAAGGGTAGTCTTGCTCCTGGTATTCCTCCCACACACACTTTTTTTGTTTTTTTGATGGGGCCTCGCTGTGTAGACTGGCCTTTGAATTTACTATGTACCCCAGGCTGGCCTCCAACTCATGGGAATCCTCCTGCCTCAGCCTGAGGGCTAGGATTACAGGCGTGCACTGCCATGCTGGGCAAGTATTTTCCTTCCTTGCAGAGGAGACACACCCCAGGAGGCAGGCCTTGCTTGGTTGTTTCACCAGTACCCAGGTTCTCCACGGCAGCGGCAGCCATCCAGTCTCGTATTTTCCCTATTTGCATGTGGAGTCTTGAGGCCTGTTCTCGTGCCTGTAGTTGTTTCCCCTGGGCCTTGGCATTTGCCTATATTTTGTCCTTGTTGTGGAAAACTGACCCATAATCTGCTTTGGAAGCTTTCCACAAATATCTGGGGCAGAATGGCTAATAAAATATATTCCTAATAAAACTTGTCCCACATTGAGGGACATTAGTATGTTTATGAAGAGTTTCAGCTCAGTGATTTTTCTACTCTTAATTGACTGGCTTATCCATGCATGTTCCCATTTCCTCAATCAAGTAGTCATATCACTGTACTTCTCACAACTCTCATTTCTTTTTTTTTTTTTTTGTACTGGGGATCAAACTCAGGTCCTTGCACTTGCAAAGCAGGCCACCAAACCGCTGAGCTAAATTCCCAGCCCACAACTCTCATTTCTAATCTGACATTGTTAACCAGTATTCTTCATGAGTACGACATTTGTATCCATATCTTTGGTATTGGGCATGTACTTAGTGGACCTTAGCTTGTGTTACTGCCCATACATGGGCTTTTTCTTCAGAGATGTACTAAATAGAAAACAGTCCTTTAAGATCAGCCCAAGTTAGATAATAAACTACAGTCCAAGTCTGAAACTCATCTATGACTCTGGGTCATCTGAGTACTGTCCCAGTTTGTTTACTCTGGGCCAGATCATTCATGGAGAAGGGAACATGGACTCTCATAACACCTTGTGTCCCCACCCCCTGATCCAAGACTTCTTGAAGCAGACACATGCTAGCTTTTCAATCAGTGGGATGGTAAGATGTGCCACATATTACACACACAGGGCTCCACTTTAGTAATGAGGGATAAAGAGGTTGATAAGGAGTTGGGATGGGGAAAGTGGCCCTGGGAGAAGACAGAGTAGAAGAAGCAGCTGGGCTAGGTTTTGAGCCTTCCCTAGAAGCCTCTGAACCTCTACTTGCTCTGCTACTGGTGCCATAGGAATCTGGGATAACCTGGTTGGGGTAAAAGTTTAACTTCCATAGGGTCTGATTCTATTCAGACTAGTCCTATTGGCACATGGCCATAACAGATTTACAAAATCCAGGTAATTCTGGATCTTGGTATAGGGCCATAAAAACCTGGGCAGATGGGATTTTTGTCCATTTTACCTCCCTCTTATAGAATAATTAAGCTGGACTATTGTGTTAAAAATTTAAAGTTCCATTTAGAGGCCAGGTCTCCCCAGGTTTTAACATAAATGAGTTGTAAAGGAAAATCAATCATCTATTTCCTCTTTAAATCCTCTGTTTTAAAATGATCCCAATTTTGCATAATATATAACCATTCAATAAAGTGCACTATACACTTTTCAGATTTCCCTTGTGTACTTCTGGAAAGAGATAAAAGAAAAAGATGCAGTCCTATTTAGGTCACTGAGATCAGGTTGTGTGAGCAACCCCCTCTCATTCCAGGTCACACCACATGCACAGCCCACCCCAAACTAGGGTCGTGTCCTCTGCCCCAAACTAGGGGTCAATCACACAAACAGCACACCCTGAACTACAGTCAGGCCATGGGCACAGCCTGCATAATGCTGGAGTCATGCTACATGTGCAGCCTGCCCTGTTTCACAGACTCAGAACTGTCCAGGGCGGCAGCTTTGCCCTGTTACCACAGGATCAGAACCACCCCTGATAGCGTGCTCTGCCTTGTTGTCTCAGAGTCAGAACTGTTGTGTGTGTGTGTGAGCACTACTTTCTATCATCCACTGGTTCAGGCGTTCCTTTTAATTATGCAGAAATCTATTACTCATGCCCATAACAAGTGTCCTCGTTCTTGACAAACAGCTACTCTCACCTTCCTTAGCAGATCAGGAAAGCAGACAAGGCTGGGCTTTGCTCAAAAATTTACCACAAAGATCTTTACATCTAGGGATCTGTAGAAAGTTTAAAAAGTCTCAAGATACCACTTAGCAACTACAAATCCCGTACAGAACCATTTTTGATGGGAGATGAACTTGATGCCAAAATTATCAAAAGAATATCAAAACCAAATAAGATTGAGGGAAGGTAGAATTATAGTAACAACCCTGAGTTGAGATCCACAGGCAGCCCCAGGACCCCGAAGACCAGGTGAGAAGGGTTGACCTGGCACCCTGCCTGTAGGTCTGTGGGCCTCTCTGACTAGCTGAGAAAATACAAAGGCCACTTGCTTCCCCTCCTCCCTCCCACAGAGTGGGTCACACTAGGCACTGTCCCCGGAGCCATGAGAATACTCGACTTCCCCCCAGTTCCCATTAAACACCTCTATCCGTCAGCTCCTTGCCTCTTTCTGATAATTAATAACAGAAAAATTTTAAGAATTTGGTATTTTTAATGAATGAAAGCCTAAGTGGGAGAGAAGAGACAAGGAAATTGGGTTTTCTTAGGGAAGAGAGGAGGGGGAACAAAAGTAAGCCAGTGGGGTCTTCGGTTTGAGACTTCCCCAGGTTCTCAGGACAACATTAGTTATCACCTGAATAATTACTTGAACCTACATGGCTTACCCTGCAGTTACTACAGGTCCTGAAGGCCTGATGCATTCTTTAAAGTGCGTGGCGGGGTTTTTTTTGCCTACTCAGCATTTCTATAGTTTCCCACCATGACAAGAACTTAATCCAGTGCACATGAGTTCATGCTCACTGTCTATGATTCTACAGGGAAAAGTATAACAGGTCCTGAGGATCCATCATTAGTAAATACAATATCACTTTTTTTTCCTGTGTCAAAGCCCTAGTTTAAATTTTGAGAGTTTTTACTGTTTTTAAATCAGGCCGTGAAAATAAGTGTTCAATGTGGGCAACAGATAGAACAGAAAGACCTTTCTGTGTGTGTGTATGCTACAAGTCTGGCTCAATTTTCATTTTTAGTATTTTGCCTTAGATTTGTTAACATCGCAACTAGAAAAGAGAGAGTCAAGAGAAAACAAGTTAGCTGTCACCTAGGATTTATTTAATGAATTTGTCAGCAGGTCAAAGTCATGTTATTCTGGATTTCACCTAAAGCCCTTGCAGTTATGAGGAAAATCTATGTTCCAGAATGGCTGCTAAAAAAGTGCCAAAAAAGCATGAAAAAATTATAGGAGAAATCCCGGGAACAGAAACGCTTGTAACAGAAGAGGCCAGACAACCTACTGACAAAAACAAAAGTAAAAGATGTGCCATGTGCCCCAGCAGCAGAGACAGAAAAACTGCTATCCGAAGTGACATGCAATCAGTGCTGTAATAAAGTGTCCTAAGTGTTGTGAAAATTAATTTTTTAATGTTACAAATACTTACAAATAAAAATATTTTTTATAAAAAATTAAATTAAATTATGGATCCTGAGAACTCATGAATAGTACCGATGAAACTAAAATGAATCAATACTAGCTACAGGGCTAGGGATTTAGCTCAGTGGTTCTGCCGCCTGCCTTGCAAGCGCAAGGTCCCAAGTTCTATCCCCATACCAAAAAAAAAAAAAGCAGCTACAGGTTAAGAAATGTTCCTAGCTACCACCCAAAGGGAGCCATGGCACCAGGTGGACCAAGTTTACATCCTTTGGTTGCGGGCGGGTGAGAGAGAATGAGAATATGAGAATTTAAAATGTTCAGGACCTGAAAATGTACATGATTTAAGGAGACTGCTTCCCTTGGGTATCACCTCAAAGGCCAGTCTTCTCCACAGCACCTCAGGACTAGGTTTCCTATGCTGGCTGCTGGTCAAGAAACTGCTCGGGACACTGGATGGCCCATTCTTGTATGTGTCTCCTTGGTGAACAAATTTTAGTTCCATCTGACCAAAGAATTGGGCATGTTGACCTGAGGGAGCATCTAATGAGGCTGCTACATATCATAGAGGATACCTCTTGACACTCTTTCCATTTCCGGTTAGAGAGAACAAGTACCTCTTGCCTTTGGTGCGTTTATGTGCAGGAACTAATTTTCTAGGGACTTGGAAGACTAACTGCTGGAAAGGAAAAACCTAAGGCTACAGAGGTTTGGAGACAAGGAGAGAGAAAAAGGAGGGAAAAAAAGAGGTAAACCATGTTTCGTAGAGTAAGAGGTTGGAGTGAACTATACTTCAGAGGGCAAGAGGTTGTGTGAGTGGGGTGGGGGGTGAAGAGCCTTGGGCTAGATTTACCAGAGTAGTAGTCTCTGTTAGACTTTTTTTTTTTTTTTTTTTTGGTACCGGGGCTTGAACTCGGGTCCTTGCGCTTGCAAGGGAGGCCACCGAACCGCTGAGCTAAATCCCCAGCCCAAAAGTAGTAGTCTCAATGCCTCTTACCTCCTGCTGCTGGCTCAACAAGAGAAAATATCACTGGACCAGGTCAGAGGGGTTCCTGAAATGAAGATGAGGAGCTTAATCCACTACAAACATAAACTGCTTGAACAATTTGCTGACCCCTGGGTCAGAAAAAGAATTTTTAGGATGCATCAATAAGGGGCACTAGAAATTTTAGGATACAGTCAAGAGTGGCCGCCTGCCTCTCAAGTGCAAGGACCCAAGTTCGATACCTGGTACCAAAAAAAGAAAAGGAAAAAAAAAAAAGAGTGGAATATGGGCACTCAGAGAAATGAGATGCACTACAGTTTGGAACTGGAAATCTTTGTGTGTTTTGGGTGTTACAAATCTGGGCCTTTGATAATCTGGTATTTGATAATCTATAGTCTTGGTTTTGGTGTGGTGGGCAGGGGACAATGCCTGCCCACCGTAAGATAATGATCCAGAAAAGCCAAAAGATGATCTACTCACAGGTGAAAGAGGACCATGTGCAAGTAAAAATGGAATGGCTGAACCCTTTTGTAAGTGAAAGTAGTGGCTTGGGCTTATTGTGTTTTAAAATTATGATTTTTCCTTCTCTCCCTTTTGCCTATTTTTCACTTTTTCTATCCTTCCATTACTGGGTTTTGGGCTCTAGAGTCTCCTTCTAGATGTGGTTTCTTTTTTTTCTTTTGGTACCGGGGATCGAACTCAGGTCCTTGTGCTTGCGAGGCAGGTGCCAGAACCACTGAGCTAAATCCCCAGCCTAGACGTGGTTTCTAAATTCTTTCTGTCATGAACAAAGAATTGGTCAAGATGAATGCAAATGGTAAAAAAGTTTTACGTTTATTAAAGGTAGGGGGGAAAAAACAGGCTCTGCAGAGTGAATATAGGCCAAGTAAAAAGTAGGGGAAAAAAGTACACTCTACAGCGTGGGGGAAACTATCATGAAAGAACTCAGCAACAAAAGACTGATATCAACTGTCCTTTTTGTATCCCCTACTCCTTAGGCTGATGTCAGGCCTAGCCCAACCTGATCAAAAACCTGCTTGCAGAGCTTTGGGAACTGTTCTGCATATGTTCCCTGAATTTTGCAATTAACAGGTCACAGCTATTTCCCCAGCCAGCTTTGCCACTCCCCAGTCTCCTGTTTCACTACCTCAAATCCATCGGCCCAAATCAAAATAAATATAAGATCTCAGGTGTTGCTTCAGTCCTACTGGACTGGATTCTAACTTTCAACAAGTGCTCTAGGTGATTTTTAAGCCCATGGAAGTCTGAAAACCACTAGACTAGATAACTCAAATTTAACAGGGCCACAAGAGTCCACACATCCTCCCCAAATTGGCTTTAGCCCAGGCTTTGTCATCGTAAATGCCATCACACATGTTCATGCTATAAGCTTGGGAGTTATCTTGATAACTAGTTATCTAGGCAAAAGTGCCTAGAGCTCATGAAGTCACATGGCCTTGGCAGCAGCAACCTTCTAATTAGTCCATTATTGCATCTATGTAATTCACTCTCCACTCAGTAGCCTGATAGTCTTTTTATTTCTAATTAAAAGTATGATTAGCCAGGCGTGGTGGCACACACCTGTAATCCCGGCACTCAGGAGGCTGAGGCAGGAGGATCACTGTGAGTTCGAGACCAACCTGGACTACATAGTGAGTTCCAGGTCAGTCTCAACTACATAGTGAGACCCTGTCTCAAAAAAAAAAAAAAAAATATGATTTACAGGGGCCAGGGATTTAGCTCAGTGGCACTGTGCCTGCCTCACAAGATCAAGATCCTGAGTTCGGTCCCTGGTACCAAAAATCAAAACAAAGGTATGATTTACATACAAAAAAGTACACAAATCTTAAGAGTATAATTTGATGAATTGTTACTAAAGATACTTGCATGTAAGTACCACTTACATCAAAATACTAAGTAATCCTTTTAAAAATTTTTATTTCAAATCATGATATACCCTTTCTTAAAATTATATTGTGCTTTTCCAACCCCCTTACAAAGCCTCATGTGACCCAAATCCTATCTATGTCTCAAACTTTTTTATTTATTTATTTATTTATTTATTTAATTTTTTTTTGGTTTTTTGAGACAGGGTCTCACAATGTACTTGAGATTGACCTAGAACTCACAGTGATCCTCCTGCCTCAGCCTCCTGAGTGCTAGGATTACAGGTGTGCACCACCACGCCCGGCTTCAAACTTTATTTTGTACCACTCTTTCGCCTCCCTCACCATAATCTAGATACTGGCCTTCAAATTCCTCAACCTGAAAAGATGTTCCTGCTCTGGAGTCTTTCCTCCAGTTATGCATCCTGTCTTCTCCTAAAGCTCTTTTCGACATTTCCAGGGCTAATAGCTTGTAATTTATTTTTTATTTTTTGTACTGGGAATTGAACTCGGGACTTTGCACTCAGGAAGGCGGCCAGCACCACTGAGCTAAATCCCCCGGGCCCGACAGCTTGTAATTTATATTTTGTTTTGTTTTTTGGTACCTGGGATCAAACTCGAGTCCTTGTGCCTGATAGCTTGTAATTTAAATGTCTAAATGTCAGTTCCTCAGAAGCCTTCCTAATCTAAATAAAGATGCGTGCAACCACATTTTATTTTCCCTTAATCATTTGCAGAGTGCTTATAATTTCTAATATTATTCGCTGCTTATTGTCTGTCTTTCCCTCACTAGAATACGGCCTCTCTTTCAGGAAAATTTTGTTGTTTACTCACAAATGTTTGTTAACAGTGCTGAACAAAAATTTTCACTCAGTGAACGACAACATATGATAAAATGCAGCATAGCTGGAGGAAGAATGACTAACACTCGGCTATCAACGTAGGTAGTAATGTGGAGGATTAAATGAAGTAAAAGCCAATGTCAATTCCGTGTTCACGGTTACCTTCTTTCTCCTAAACACACCTTTTAGTCTTTACGTACTGCAAATATGCACTAATAAAAATAAAAAAAATTAAACATTACTTTAAAAAAACTATCTTCAGCCGTATGTTGACCTTGTTTCGCTTTTACTAAAAGGAACTTAAATTTAGTCTCTTTCCGTTCAGAAAATAAAACGCAAGACACTCACTGCAGGTTCGAGCCCGCCTGAATCGCACAGAACCAAAAACGCAGCCCCGCTCTTCCCGCTGACCCCGCCAGCCGGAAGTCGACACATCCAGAGACCCCGCCCCGGGCTCGGATCCCGCCGGCGGCCGCACGCTGCCCTACGTAAAGCGTAGGGGTTTCGCGACAACTCGGGCCCCACCCCTCTGGCCACATGTCGCGCAGGTCTTCCCGACGGACGCAGCGCCACCTCCCCACGCTGCTTTACGAACCTAGACAGCGGCCCCCGCCTCCTGTCTCCGTCCTCACATCTCCGCCCCCGCTCACTTTTCAGTCTCCTACCCCGACGCGCCCGCTATAATCACGTGATTGCTTCATCCGGGTCCTTTGCGTTCTCTCTCCCTCTCCCAACATGGCGGCCTCAGGTGAGTGAGCGGCCGAACGCGGCCAAGGATCAGGCTCCGAAACCACACTGTTCTCTTGATCCACTACGTCTTGGAGTTGGGGTGTAAGTGGCACCGGTCTCTTATGGCTTGGAGGCTGCGGCAGGTTGCCGGCTTGGCAGTGTTAGGTTACCGCTTCGGGATGTTTGGGGGGAGGGGTAGGTGTCCTTCCCCTCCCCCTCACACCCTTTTCACCCCGTTTGCGCGAGGTTGGAGTAGGCAGTAATGGTTGGTTTGGGCTTGAATTGGAGAAAGAAGCGCAGAGAGGTCTGCGGGAAGCTCAAGGCTTTTTTAGAGACGTGAAACACTGATCACGTGAAGGCGTGGAGGGAGGAAGGAGGCGATTGGCGCGCGGACCGGTGCACATTAGACTAGGTTTGCTAGGCGCGAGGCCGTTGCAGACGGGTGGGGGCTGGGGTACGGGAGGGGGGGCAGTTAGAACGCGAGTCTGAGAAGGGGCGGAGGAAAGCGGCGGTGCGCGTGCGCGGTAGGACAGACGAAGATAGTGGAGACTGCGCGCTTTAAAAGCGTGCGCTGGAGTCCAGATGGAAAGCTTTACGCGCTTGTGTGGCGCTCATTTATGTCCTGTTTAATGCTTTTCATTATAGTGTGGCCCGGCCCGTATACGCTAAAGGCACTTGTGCTAGGTTGGTGAGTTAGAGGTGGGGAACAGTGTGGTGCGCCCACGTGTTCGAGCAGAGGAAGCATTGGACGCAGATTTCCCTCATCTTTTTTCTCTCTCATTTAGAATATTTTTACTGGGCACAAACCATATGCCAGGTACAGCTAGTTCTAAGTGTTGGCGATACACTTCGGTTTAATTTTGACGATAGGGTTCAGCTTTTTTTTTACTTAGGTAAGTGTAAAACTTCTAGGAGGTGCTCTTAAAATAATAGTTTTTTAAAGGCTTCTTTGCGAGGACTATCAACTGCCATACAAATTTTTAATTACGTATGTAGTGGGCTTATAAGAACAGCAGTGGGCTGTGTAACTTCTTGTGGCACTAGTATATAGTTTTGAGGATTTGCTTTCTTTTTCCTGTATTCTGCAAAGTATTTTTAAAATTGCTGTCTCTAGACACTCATTTCTTTTTTAATATATAAATTTTATCCCATTCCCCCCTTCAAGCCCCACTATGTACAAAAGCTTTGTTTCTATTTTTTCCTTCTATTTTCATTTTTTTTTCTTGTCCCTTTCTCCCTCTCCTCCCTTGTTCCCCTTCCCATTTGAATGCTTTCTCATTTTCCAACGTCCATTACACATCTCAGTAGACACTCCTTTCTTCACCAGGAATTCATCTTCCTGAGAAGGAAGCTTAGTGCTAGGGTTGTGTTTGGAAAATGTTGACAGAGTTGAGGTTGTTTTGCTTTGTTTGAGACTGAGTCTCACTGTGTAGTTCAGGCTGGCCTTGAACTCATTATGTAGCCCAGGTTGGCCTTGAACTCACTGCAATCTTCCTGCCTCAGCCTCCCAATAGCTGGAACTACAGGCATGTGCCACCACACTCAGCAAGTTGAGATTATTTGAGCACCATAATTTTCATCGGTATAGCGCTCAACTGAACAAACACTTCTGTGTATATTGTCTTCTAAGGTAAGGAAATGGTAGTATCTTCCAGCTGAGGAAAATGACAGATTTGTTCAAGATCACACCTTGCAGGTGCCCAGAGGTAGATCAGAATCCTGGAGGATTTTTTTTTTTTTTTTTTTTTTTTTTTTTTTTTTTTTTTTTTTTTTTTTTTTTTTTTTTTTTTTTTTTTTTTTTGCACCGGGGATTGAACCCGGGTCCTTGCACTTGCAAGGCAGAACCACTGAGCTAAATCCCCGGCCCTAGAGGATCTTGACTCAACCAATTTAGAAGTATCATGGTGTCATCCTGAGTTTTAAGATGCTGCTCAAAACTATCTGAAGTTTACAAAGCTATTCATATTTTAATCAGTATTTACTTTCTTGGCCTAGATTTTCCACCTTGGCAGTTCAGTATCACATTATCCATTTGAACTCATTTTGTGGCCCAGGCTCGTCTCAAACTCGCAGCAATCTTCCTGAGTGCTGGGATTAAAGGAGTGCGCCACCATGCCCAGCTTTTTCCCCACTTTGAATCTTGTCCAATTATACTGATTTTTTTTGTTTGTTTTTTGTACCGGTGATTGAACTCCAGACCTTGGGCTTGTGAAGCAGGCATGGCACCACTGAGCTAAATCCCCAGCTCGAAATTATACTGATTTTAAGTGATCAGTATTCCCAGAAGTTGGAAGAGGCTTTTATTTTCCTTTCAAAAATACATAAAACAAGTTCATAGATCTTTTTCCACTTTTTTGGGGGGGTACCCAGGATTGAACTCAGGATTTTTGTAAGTTTTCTCTGACTGTTTCAGTAGGACTGTTAAAGCCTGTTAACTCTTGAGTCTTTTAAGTTTCCTCATCTGTGAAGTGGACATGGTTTATCTGCTGTTGTACAGTCATACAAAGAGTCAGCCGGGTGTGGTGGCTCATGCCTATAATCCTAAACACTCACTAGAGGTAGGATTGCTGCAAGTTTGAGTCCAGCCTGAGCTACATAATGAATTCAGGTCCATCCTGAACTATAAAAGGAGACAAACAAAACAAAGAATCAAATATATTTGATACAGGTAAACATTTAAAATACTTTAGCATTGGATCAGGTGTGTTACACTTTAAAGCCCAGTGCTTGGAAGGCCGAGGCTGGAGGGTTGACTTGAGTTCAAGGCCAACTTGAAATACATAGTGAGAAGAAGATTTAACATTGGATATAGTATATGTAAACCTGTGCATAAGCCCTTCATTTGCATAATGCTTCAGAATACCTTAGTGTATATTTGTAAGGAGAAGATAGTGTTCGTTGGTTTTCATAATTAAGGGTTGCCACTATACACAAATTTCCTATTTTCCAATCCTATCTTCTACCATGTATTTGTTATTCTGAGAGTAGGATACTTGCAAGGCCAAAGCTAAAACTTACAAAAATTCAAGTACTGTACACAGACTACTGTCAACTAAAATAAATCAAGTGTTTCTAAGTAATGTCAGTGAAAAAGGCGTGGGTTTTTAAGTCAACAAAGTACTTGTTGTAATTAGCTGTGTGTTTGTACGTCTAGGTGTATGCATTCAGAGCCAGTTGTATTTATGATATTGCTTAGGTCCAATAGTAGGAAAATGCCCAGAGCAAGAAGTTTGACTTGAGTATTTTTATAGCTCCTCTCATGAGTGTCCCCAACAGACCCTAACAAGGAAAAGGCAGTTTGGCATTTTCCTCATTGTGTCAAGGTGAAGAAACTGGGCAGAGAGGAGAGAGGTCATATAACTAACTTTAAACACAGGTGAAAGTGAAATTTATTAGTTCTGAACAGTTTTATTCAGATATAATATACCATAGAATTTACCCTTTTAAAGTACATACTTTGGTGGGTAAGCCTGCTTTTTGGTGCTAGGGACTGAACACTGGGACCTTATGCTTGGTAGACGTGTTTTACCATTGAGCTACATGCCCTGCCTTGGTGGTTTTTAATACATATTCATGTAGACTGGTGGCTTTAATCCCAGCACTCAGGAGGCCAAAGCTAGAGAATAGCTGCAAGTTCAAGGACAGCCTGGGCTATGTAGTGAGACTCTGTCTCCAAAACACACACACACACACACACACACATATACACACACTAAAGTTCAAGGAGCCTGGGCTATGTAGTGAGACTCTGTCTCCCAAACACACACACACACACACACACACATATACACACACTTAGCCATCATCATTATCTAATTTGAAAGCCCCCACCAGGGATCAAACTCGGGACCTTGCGCTTGTGAAGCAGGCTGCAGAACCACTGAGCTAAATCCCCAGCCCCTAAAGCATTTTCATCATTCATACCTTAACCATTAGCAGTCACTTCTATCCAACCACTATTCTATATTTTCTTTAGATTTGTCCACCTAGAACATTTAGTATAAATCGTTTTATATAATCCCTGATTTTTTTTTTTTTTTTTTTTTCTCCTCT